GCAGGAGAGAATCTTATCCTTACCCTGATGGCAGGAATTACAGTCCTAGATTAGGAGAACCTACAACACGTGATCATATGCATACGTACAAGTGCATTATCCAAAACAGAGTAGTAGGTTTCACCCCTGTGAAAACCTCACCCGCTGGAGAGTTGGCAGTTCCCTCCCACAGTGGTGGAAAGGAGCTCGTTTCCCACAGCAGGCACTCACGCTGTTTGCATCTGGCAGCAACACTACTTTGTTTAACCAAAGACAGAGGAATTGAGCTCCATGGGACTGCAATCCATCCTTCCCCTGGGACAGTTAGAGGGCGACCTTGCAGCCTGTCCCTGCTTGTCATGTACATGCAGCAAGACACTCACTGTTGCAGTCAGGGTTTACAAGGGAATAGATTTAATGCAGGACACATAATTTGTTTGTTTGCTTGTTTTCCGGTGCCGGGAATTGAACTCACAACCTTGCGCTTGCCAGGCAGGCACTGTGCTGCTGAGCTAAATCCCCAGCCCCAGGACACATAATTTATAGGATTATTTTATAATATTCACCCAGATGAAATGCAGAAGAGTACAGGAGATCTGTCCACATGGAAACCCAAAGAATCCAACTGAGAGTCTGAATCCCAGAGAAATGTCCTGCAAGAGGCCTAGAGGCCTAGAGCCCATGACAATGTCTCATGAAAGTCTATATCAAGGATCTGCACTGGGAAGGCCCAAAGGTCGATGATGGAAGCTAGAAAGTCTGCACCAGCGGGATGAAAGATCTGCCAGCAGGCTGGAAGGACCTGCACTGCAGCCAGGATATGATGCTCCAGGTAAGGACCAGAGCTCCCCTGAAGAGAACGACAGCCATTCTCAGCGACAATGAGGACAGGAGCCCCTCTGATAGAACAGCCGAGTTCATATCAGGAAAGCTGGCTTGAGAAGCTTCTCCAGAAGAATCAGCAGCACCACCTGCCCCTCCAGTTCTCCTTTCATGCTGTTGGCAACAATCCTCAGGTGGGCCTTCCACACCCAGCACCACGATGATTTAGTTCACCTGGGTGTTACAAGGTGACCACTAGTTTAATCCACCATACCAAGTATTCCTTAGTGCTGCCACTGTCCTCCAAAGTGACCTTCGGATTGGAGCCAGCCAGTTGGCCCCTTCAGCCCATAGGGGAAAAATGAGAGTGAGGCCTCATCTCATAGGTAGACTTCTCATCTACCCCGCCCCCAGCAGCTGGAGAGATCTCAACCTTTAAATTTTTTTTGGTACTGGGAATCAGACTCAGGATCTTGTGCTTGCCAAGCAGGTGCTTGTGCTGCTGAGCTACATCTCCAGCACCAACCCTCCTTACTCTTAAGTGGAGCAAACGTCCGTCTTCTGTAACTGCTTTGAAGGTCCTCTTCACTAGTATTTCAGGGGTGTTTTTATTTTGTGTTTTTTTGTTGTTGTTGTTGTTTTCTGGTACCAGGAATTGAACTCACGGCCTTGCACTTGCCAGGCAGGCGCTGTGCCGCTGAGCTTAATCCCCAGCCCCCCTCACCAGCATTTCATATCACTTCTCAGAGGCCTTCCAGAAGCATCATCACACTGACACAGGGCCAGTAGAAGGGAGCACTTAAACGGCCATGCATCTTATAATGCCCCACATGTTAGGGGAAGTTACAAAAACTTGAGGCAGGATCCCGAACTTTGTTGTTGACCTTGATGGAAGAGACCTTGAAGGCCTGTAATAACCAGGGCCAGGCAGAAGGGGCAAAGGAGGATAAGCGGTTAGAGAAAAAGATGCAGCTTCTGGCTGCTCTAATTCAACCACCACCTCAGGGTAACTCACAGGCCCTCCCAAATTTGCTCAGCAGGGAGTGGGTAGAAACCAGTGTGCATATTATCAAAAGGAGGCCAATAACTGGCAACGTTATTTCCCAGTTGGTTGATACCAAGGCAAAAAGATGTCCTTTTAATGGTTAGAGAGGATCAGTTACTTAAATTAGTTCATGTCAGTGTTGTATGTATGGTTTTACAATAAAATGACCGGAGGGGAGAATAAGGAGGATGACATCTCTCAGAGGAGAAATGAGACAGAGGAGTGCCTGACTCTTCTTGTTTTCCCCTGCCAGCTGGAGGGGGTGTGGCTTGGCCAGCAGCTGTCTGCTCCCCCCAGCTACCCTTTTCTCCCCTCCCCCACCCCCGTGGACTGGGACATTTTGTTTCAGTGTCCTCCCAGCTATGAAACCACCATTCTCCACGCTAACATGAGTGCAGCCAGCTGGGCAGGGCCCCTCACACACTCCAGCTACTTCAAGCCATACTGTTGCCCTTTTGAAAAAGGGAGGGGGCACCTTACAGTGACTAAGATCAGGAAGGGAGGGACCTAGGCCCTTATTGGCATATCCAACATTCATAGCAAGCTTTCAACCTTGACCCTCACTGAAACAGGCCTGCCGCTGTTACATAAGCAGCACTGCCCAGCCATTTCTTGGGTTTAGTCTAGGAGAGCTCCCTCCTGTGTATTGAGGGACCCTGTCTCTTTCTGAGACAGGGTCTCGCTATGCAGTTCAGGCTGACCTTGAGCTCACTTTGTAGCCCAGGCTGGCCTCGAACTCGCAATGATCCTCCTGCCTCAGCCTCCCAAGTGCTGGGATTACAGGCATGTGCTGCAGCATGGGCCCTATTAAAATGAAGACTCACTTTGGTGTTCCTGTAAATCTGCTTGTGATTTATTTCTCGGGTAGTGCGAGCTTCAAAAGTTTCTTAAATCTATTTGGAGTTTTTATGCCGAGTAGCATGGACAGAGCAGTTGTCTCCAAAGAAAGGGCAATACACATTCGGAGCTGTTAACACCACAGTGCTGCAGACACCAGCACCCAGTTGGCCTGTGGTGTCCAGCACAAGCTGGCATCGGATGGTGACAGCCGGCAGCCGCAGTGACCAGCAGCTGGCTGTGTCAACTGCTGGCATCCAGCATTACCTGGTGTCATTTGGTGACACAGAGCTGCATGTTGCTGATTCACCATTTCCATCTGATTCAAGCAGAAGAACCCTAGACTGATTGGCTGCAACAGGAAACTTCACTTATCACCGATTAGACTGGCAAAATTTTAACATTTGACAATGTTGATGAGAATGTAGACAACTAGACCCTCTACCTAGTATCCGTTAATAGGGCCACTTTGAAGAGCAGTATGGCAATAAATGTCAAAATTGTGCATAACCATATGTAGCCGTTCAGAAAGTTAAAGATAGACAAACTCAAACCGGGGGTGGTAGGTGGTGTATTCCTATAATTCCAGCACTTGGGAGGCTGAAGCGGGAGGATCATGAGTTCAAAGCCAGCCTTGATCTATATAGCAAAACACTGTCTCAAAAAACAAAACAAAAATAGATGGACAAATTCAAACCTACAACTTAGCAGTTTCTACGTATGTAAGCTAAAAAGATTCCTGGTGCTGTAGCTTTATGGAAGAGTGCTTGCCCTAGCACGGTGAAGGCCATTTTGATTCCCTACACTGGGGGTCGGGGGAAGTATCTTCCCATCATGGTTTATATCTAGATGTCCCCCAAGAGCCTCCTGTGCTCATAGATAGGGCTTTTGGAAGAAGTGTGTGCAGGAATCTTACAGCAGCATTGTTTGCTGTGCCAAAAATAGGAAGCCCCCTGAGTTTCCAACAGGAAACTAGATAGAGTGGAAAAGTCTAATGGTATTAACAGCTGCCGTCGCTCTGCAGTACCAGCTCCACCTGGGGTCCCAGCCAAAGGGAAGGACAGTAAGTAAACAGGGCTCAAATTAATGGTAATAAAACACTCAGGAAGCAACTGGCTACCAAAGCCACTGGCAAGAGTGCGCCCTCTACTGGGAAGGTGAAGAAACCTCATTGTCACAGACCCACTACTGTGGTACTCAGTGAAATTAGATGTTGTCAGATGTTCACTGAACTAGGCCAGACATGGCGGCAGCACAGGCCTGTAAATCCCAGCAGCACTCTCAACTCTGAGAGGCTAAGAGAGGAGGATCTCAAGTTCAAGCCTAGGCTGGTCAACTTATGACTTGCCCCACGTCCTCCACTGTACTGGGATAGAACCTAGGGCCACAAACAAGGCAAGTGCACTACAACACATTTTGACTGGCATTTTTGAAGGCACCAACTTGCATGCTATCCATGCCAAACTGTCAACAGTTATACCAAAATATACCCAGCACATCTCTGCATCACATATGTGGAAAACATTTAAGAATCATCCAGTCTGATGGGAAATATTTATTTTTCAAAAAAAAAAAATCTCTTCTTCCTGTTATCGGAAATTCTGAGCTCAGATGTTTTCCTTTTGGGGTTAAAAGATGCCTGTGTAGCCAGGCATGGTGATGCATACCTATAATCCCAGCACTCAAGAGGCTGAGGCAGGAGGATCCTTGAGAGTTCAAGGCAGCCTGGGCTACAAAGTGAGCTCAAGGCCAGCCTGAACTGCATAGTGAGACCATGTCTCAAAAAGAGAAAAAAGAAAAAAAAAATGTCATGGCAAAATAAATAAATAAACAAACAAAAAGTTCATGGCAAACATGGGCAGTTTAACAATACCCTGTCTCAAAATAAAATAAAGGCCTGGGGATATATCTCAGTGGTAGAGCACCTGTCTAATACTATATACACAAACTCCGGGGTGCCTTCCTTCAGGAACACTCCCAGCATTTAACTAGCTGCTAGTCCTCCTCTTTAAAAGATACCTCTTACCACAGCAGTAGAGTGCGTGTGTAATCCCGGTACTCTGGAAGGTTGAGGCTGGAGGACCATAAGTTCAAGCCCAGGCAGGGCAATTTAGCAGACTTAGCAAGACTGTCTCAAAATAAAAATATTAAAAATGGGCTGCTGGGGACGTAGCTCAGGGAAAAGGTTCTAGCTGACTTCCTCGCACCACAAATTTATGTGCTGCTGAAGCGAGCACCACCAAAAATAAATCAATAAAAGGCACCTCTTTGTGGGACGTCCCCTAAAGCCGCTGCCGTTTCTTGGTCTCCTTCACAGCCATGCTGGGAAAAGCTCCCGTTCCCGCCGACATCCTTGCTCTGTGCCCACCTTTCCTTTGCAACTGCTCGGACCACCTTCACAGGTGGGTTGTGTTGCCCAAGTGCACATCTTTGTTACTGACAGCAGGCTGCAGAGTGATTGTGAGTGTGTGTGTGTGTGTGTGTGTGTGTGTGTGTGGTGTGCCCACGTTCCTCCTCCTCGAAACTTTCCCCTCTAGCCTCCTTCAGGTTTTTCCCACCTCATGCACTGTATCTTCCCTGTCTTCTCTGCTGACTTGATCCTGAAACCTTTTTCCCCCTCTACTGACATCATCTCCCCGCTTAAGTGATTTCCTCCAGTTCCGTGCTTTTTTTTTTTTTTTGATACTGGGAATTGAACTCAGGACCTTCTCCTTGCCAAGCAGGTACTGTGCCACTGAGTTATATCCCAAGCCCTCCAAGCATTTTTTGTTTGTTTGTTTTCCGGCACCAGGAATCACACTCACGACCTTGCACTTGCCAGGCAGGCGCTGTGCCACTAAGTTAAATCCCCAGCCCCCTCCATGCATTCTTTTTTTAATGCTGGGAATCAAACCCAGATCCTTGTACATGCTAAATTGAGCTACCCAGCCCCTCGTTCCTTGGCTTTATATGCATCTCTGTGCTCTGAAATATATATTGACATCCCTGACCAAAATATCCTGGTTCCTGCTTGACAGTAAAGATAGGTGAACCAAAATCCACTGCTCAGCAGTTCTGCTCCTATCACATCCACATGGATACCTATGAACAGTTGTTTGTTTGTTTGTTTTTGTACCCGGAACCAAACTCAGGACCTTGTACTTGCCAGGCAGACACTTGTGCCACTGACTTATATCCCCGGCCACCTACTAGGTGGTAGGAACATATAACTGATCACCCAGTGACACTTCTAAGAGCAAAAGGGGATACTATTGATTCACCTAGAACTACAGACATAACCTGGAGCATATGATCACCCTGTATCAGCGTGGCCTTTCCATCACCACATGTTCAGAGTGGAAATCTCCAATCTGCCCTATAATATGTCCCTCTCTCGATCCCTCCCAATTTAGTAAAAGGCACCGCCACCTGCCTGTTTCCTCAAAACAAAAACCTAGGACTCTCTAGTGAACCCTGTCATCCTAAATTCTTTCCTTTCTCTCATCTCCCACATGATCTATCCATGAATTCTGTAACACTGATCTGCATGAATTCTGTAACACTGTGGATCCTGTTTCCCCCATTTCCACAGCGAGCACCCTGGGCCCACCAACCTCAGACTCTTGCCTGCTAATTAGTCTTCCTACTCCCACCCTCGTCACCCCCAGTCTGTTCTCCACTCGGCAGCCAAGTGAGCTTTCCAGAGCCTAACTCAGATCATGGCATCCTGCAATTAAAAGCATTCCACAGCGAAGGAATCATCGCCATCAGCAGTAACACAGACGAATCTCACCAACATAAGGTGGAACAAAAGAAGCCCAACAGACACAAGAGTATAGACTGATGAGTCCTTTATGTAAAGTTGGGGAAACACTCGTCCATGCCACCAGAAGGCTCAAGAGTGAGGTGTTCTGGGTGCTGGTTGCACAGAAGTATTTGGTTCATGCAAATTTTAATTAAGCTCATGTATAGCTGATTATGTACTTTGCATTCTTTTTTTTTTAAGTACTGGGAATTAAACCCAGGGCTTTCACGATAAGCTACATCCCCAGTCTTTTTATTTTTTGTTTTGAGATAAGGTCTTGCTAAGTTGCCCTGGCTGGATTCAAACTTGTTATCCTTCTGCCTTAGCCTCCCAGAATGCTAGGAGTATAAGCGCACTCCATCATGCCCAGCTTGTGTTATATATTACCTACAAATTTTAAAGCAAATCACCCTTATTCAGTTTTCCTTTGTACTTGGAATAAAGCTCTAGGGGCTGGGGATTTAGCTCAGCGGCACAGCGCCTGCCTGGCAAGCGCAAGGTCGTGAGTTCAATTCCCAGTACCAGAAAAAAAAAAAAAAAAAGAATAAAGCTCAAGCCCCTTGCTCCAGCAGCCTGCAAGGACTCCTGGGCACTCACTCCAGGCTAGCTCTGTAGTGTCACCTTCCTGTTCTTCTCTCTGGCTTTGTCACATTCACCTTCCTTCTGTTTCTCCACTGATCTGAGCCCTTTTCTGCCCAGGGTCTTTGGCTTGGATATCACTCCTCCCTGAACGCTTTCCTTGTCCTTCTAAATGGTCAGGTCTTTGTATCATCCATCTCAGCTCAGATGTTACCTTGAACAGATTTCTCCCATTTACACGTATGGGTATCCCATTTTGCGTATCTTCTATGGCATTTTTCATTCTGTTTACTATATTTTGTTTTCCTCTCAGCAAGTAACAAGGGATGATTTGGGTGCTGTGTCTAGCACTTTTTCAGAGCCTTATCACTCAGCTCTTTATGTTGTTGTTTATTATCTGGACCACTCCACCACCAAATTCGGGCCCTCAGGGTGGTGGGGGAGATCTTGTCTCTTGTGTTTTGCCACGTCCCCAGTGATGGGTGTGCTTCTGGGCACACAGGAGGTGCTCAATGAGGACCTGCAGGGGAGAGGATGCAGTCAAGGCAGCTCAGAGACGCAGTGCCTAAGGCAGTGAGACCTTGGCCCGGGGAACTGCACTAAGGAAGAGGAGAGGGTCCAGACTCGGATGAAATGGAGCTGGTGACTAAGTTAACCTTCCAGTGACTTCCAGGCCTCTCCCAAGATAAAAAACACAGTCCTCACCACGGCCCAGAGCCCCGTGAGATCTGTCCCCACCAACTCTCCGCCTGCCTCTGCCGCCTCCTTGTCCCTCTTGCTTCTTCCTTTCCACTTCTGAACATCCTCCCACCCTGGACCTCTGCATTTGCTATTCCTCTGCCAGCTGCTCCCTCCCGAGAATTCCATGTGCCCTCCCTGCCCCCTCCCTCAGCCCTTGCTCCAATGATTCTCCCTCAAGGAGGCCTTTCCGTTCTTCCCCACTCTGTGCTCTCCCTGCTTTATTTTCTGCCGCTCTTCTGGAAGCTCACCTTCTGACAAACCACATGCTCCCCTGGTTCGTTTACCGTCCACCTCCTCACTGCTACCTTTTAAGCAGCAAGATTCCACGCCAGGTCTCTCTGACCCAAGGCACTTGCCCTTAGGCTCCAGGAAGCTGCTGCCACATGGACACCCTGCACTCAGACAAGGGCCCAGCAGGAAAGTGCACCCACCCACAGATGTCCTGGAACACTCCGCCCACAATGGTGCCCAAGGTACCCCCAGTTCATGGACTTTCACAGAGGAAGTTGTCAATCCTGGCCCGAGGTACCCCCAACTGCATCCCCCAAATCCTCCAGCACTGACAGCCTCCAGCTGTCAGCCTGCCCCCAAGGCTGGCAGGCACCAGCTCCTGGCAGAGGGGCCAGTGTGTAATTAAAAACTTTGCAAGCTCCCTAATTGCCAGTTCTTCTCGAAAACTGGGAGGCTGGCGCTATTCTGAGCCTATTCTGAGCCGTCCTTGTTGTTGGCTGCCTGAGGCATGTAGAGAGGAGCAGGCAGAGACCAGGGCCAGGCTGGCGTGGAAGTGGCCCTGGAGAGGGCTGGCTTGTGGCCAGAGACCAAACGTGGCACCAAGAGGGCTCAGAGCTGTCTGCTGTGTAGCCGCCTCCCTGCCTCCCCTCCACCACCACAGGCTTCCGCCCACACCCAGAACTGGGACGTCAAACCAGCCAGGCCCATTCAATCTTTATTCAGGTGGCATAAAAATCACTATAAAAACTTTACAAAAGAGCCTCAGGGAGCTAACGGGGCCCTTCCCTTTCTAGGTCCCTGAGCTTTTGGGCACGGGAGGGAGACGGGAAAAGGAAGGAAGGAATCCTGGCAGTGTCAGCATCTCTTAAGGACTGGTGAGGAGACCGGGGTGGCAAGGCATCAGGAGTGGGCTGGAGGCTGGCAGGTTACGCCACCTTCCACCGACAGAAAGGGGCACAAGGCCCCATGGGGGGCAGAGGCTTGCAGGATAGTGTCTGGCCCTGGGATATGGCCTGCCTCCCAAGCTATCACCATTCTTCTCCTCTCCCAAGCCAGGGTGTTCAGAAATGTCCAAAGGCAGCCTCTGGCTCCTGTGCCCGTAAACACGGAGGTGCCCCAGCTGATTTGAGGACCGACCTAACTACCTCCTAACAAAACTAGACCGACAGCTGCCCTACCACCCAGACTCTACAAAGGATACCCTTTGAGCCACTTGAGAAGAAATGAAGAGGTTATCCTGCCAACAATCCCTGATGCCTGCCCTCCAGCCTGCCCACCCCACCTAGCCGTCCCGGGAAAGGCTGGAAGAGAACAGACCCTCTCCTCCTCGCCTCTCCCAGACTGCCATGGGCCCTGCCCCCAACCCCGTGACGCTGCTTGGAAAAAGTCACAAGCTGAGAGGATGATCCGGGAAGGGGACTCAGGATTCAGGCGGCCACAGGCCCTCACTTGGGGCTGATAAACTGGGGGTAATCCTCCTCGGAGCGGGGCGCAAGTTTCAAGTCAGGGCTGAAGGACTTGTCCCCATAGGGGACGCCTTTCTGGTTGTAGATCAAGTCCTTGGTGTCCGGGGAATCCTGCTGCTCCTGGAGCTGGGGCTGTGCGCTAGGGTTGGGGTTCCTCACACTGCCCACAAAGAGGGGCAGGCCTGTGGTACCCTCAAGGATGAAGAAGAGAAAGGGGCGGTTCACACTGAAGGAGGAGATGGACATGCGGGACATGGCCGTGCTGGTGGCTGCGGCGGCCTCCACGCCAGCCTCGCTGAGCTCCAAGGTGGACTGATGCTGCACGCTGGACACCACCAGTCTCTGGTCAGAGATCCCGCGCAGGTCCGGGGCCTGGAACAGCTCCTGCAGGCCTGGCCAGGGCAGCAGATGACTGGTCAGCACTGCCCTCTGCCCCGCAGGCTGCCTGGCCTTGCTGGCATCCTCACCAGGGAGTACCTGAAACTCAGACTTCTACCTGATTTCTTTACATCTAGCTTAAATGTCACTTCCTCTAGGAAGCCCTCTCTGGACTAAGTGCCTCTTCAATATTCTCAATGAGCTGGACAGATCACTTAGGCTGAACTGTAATGTACTGATTCCTCAGGTGCCCACCCATTAAACTGAGTGTTTTGTAGGCTCCCAGTCCTAATAAAAGGCCTGGGATAGAAAAGTTGCTTAGCAAATGGCTGCTAGGAAGATGTCACTTTAACATGAGACACTCCAGCTTCTCCTCCTTCCCCTTACAGCAGGCTCACACGCCACGCTGGGCTCTCTACCCAGGATTCTTTGCAGTGCCTCATCTCAGGGAACAGAATAGGTCACCCTCCCCTGGATTGTCCAGCTCATCCCAGGACAGAGACTCCAGAGGTAGATAGCAAACCTCTCACCCTCTGTCAGCTCCAGAAAAGGCCAGGACACAGGGCCAGCTGTGACTCAGTCCCAGTGTCAGCTGGAGGCCTCTCCCCATACACACTGCCCATCCTCACCCAGGGGTTCCCCTTTGTGCAGCCTCCTTACCCAGCTGGCTGAGGGTGGCTACCAGGTCCAGCTGGTGTTTCAGATGCAGCTTAGGCAGCTGCACCTTGGTGGGCCTCTCTCGCAGTGAGGGCTGGTTCAGGGTGTCCCAGCTCAGGTTGGCCAGTACCTGGGACACGTTCCACTTAAAGTGAGTGGGCACCATGACCACAAAACTCATGTTGTTCTTAAAGGGGAAGTGAGCCACCTGCAGAGAAGGGAAGAAGGGAGCATGAGCCCCAGAAAGCATCCAAACCTAGCTGGTGCCTGAGCGAGGTACCGTACTTCTGAGATCAGTGGACTGCAGTTCAAGTCTATCCCGATCAGATGTGTGCTCGACCCCACCGAGCCTCACTTCCTCACCCCTGGAGTGACACCACCTGTCCTGCTCCAGGTGGACAGGTGACCAAATTCAATCATGCTTTTAAATCTTCCAGCAGTGCCTGGATTCGCCAGGCCACACTCGATGAATGGTGGGGTTCTCACTTTCCAGCTAGCCATGTGAACAGGCTGAGGAACCTGACAACCACCCTGCCTCTGTTTCTCTATGTGTACAATGGGTGGGTCACTGGTTTTCAGCTAGCATTCTGAGGAGGAGCCACTGCAAAGGGCAGCACCCTCCCTACTCCTTCTTACCCTCACCCAGTGACTTTACCAGCTGTGTGCATGTACTGAGATACTGAGTAAGATATCTGCGCCAGGTGAAGTGGTGCATGCCTATAATCCCAGTTCTCTGGAGGCTGAGGCAGGAGGATCACCATGAGTTCAAGGCCAGCCTGCAGTACATAGTGAAACCCTGCTTCAAAAAGGAAGAAAAAAAAAAAAAGATCTTATCTGAAGGAGTCCCTGCAGCTAAGGAGTGTGGAGACCACTAGGCTTGAGTGTCTCTTGCGGCCACAACCCTCTGAGTTCCAGCATAGCACCTGTGCACAAGCTCCCTGCCGGGGGAGAGCATCAGGTCTGGAGGCCTGGGCCTGCTGCAGAGCGACTGCAGGGTGGGAAAATGATGAGATGTAGAATGGAAATAAAGGGTGAAGAGGGAGCGAGCAGGACACAGCCTATAGGGAAGAAGCAGCAGGAAGAAGAGAACCTGTAGGAAAGTGTGCCAGACTATCATCTTGGCATGAGCTGGAGAGAAGCTGGGACATGGGCGCAGGGTGGACTTGCCCTGCTCACAGACCCTGCCAGGTTCCCCGAGGGGCTCCTTCCTGCAGAACTGATTATGCTCTGTGTCATGGTCACCTTTCAAAACCAACTAACACTGCTGTCTCAGCCACAGCTGACTGGCCCAGGAATGGATGCTCAGCCAAAGAGACCACATTTAAGCGAGAAACCAGGCAGGGTGTGCCTGAGACAGCTTGGCACAGAACACCATCCAGTCAGAATGTTCTACGCACAATGCTGGAAATTTAACACAATTAGATCCTCTCCTCTTAAGAAGCACTGGATGAGAGCTCAGATCAAATCAGGCTTGCGTTGCTGAGATCCTGAGTGGCTACGTGGCTGCTGAGATGGTCCCGTGCTGTCTTACAATCCTCCTGATAAACCTTCACACCAGGACTGAGAGTATAGCTCAGCGGTACAGCATTTGTCCGGCATGGATGAGGCCCTAGATTGGATCCCCAGGACCACAAAAAACAGAAAACAAAATAGATAAACCCTTATTTCCAAAAGTCTTCTGAATCTCAACGCAAAGAATTCTCCTTGACCATCCTCTCTAAAATACCCTCCCCTAAACTGAGCATGGTGCTGTGAGCCTATAGTTTCAGCTACTTGGGAGACTGAGGGAGTAGGATCACTTGAGCCCAGAAGTTCAAGGCCAGCCTGGGCAACACAGCAAGAGCCCAGCTCTAAAAATAAGTAAATAAAATGCATCCACAGTCACTAACAGAGGACCTTTTTCTTTCCTTCATAGCACTTACTGCTGTCTGAAATAATCGAGGGGATTTACATTTGCTCCTACACTGTGTATCTTCGCTCTCAAGGGAGGGCCCTAGCTCCCCTTGTGCTCTGCTAAAATCCCAGTGCCTGGAACAGTACCTGGCACGCAACAAATGTCCAACATATTTTCACTGAATGAATGAACTTCAAAGAGCCTGGAGCCTTGGTCCTCTTCCCTGGGGGTATAGTGGGACCTTTCAGAGCTGCCTGTCCCCGAAATATGACCGCAAGGAAACGGGGCACCCACGATAACCCTGTGCCTGCTCCACAGTCTGCCCCTGCTTTCCCCACCTCTCAGCACCCAGACCCTGCCTGCTGAGCCGCAAAGGGTGACCTGTATCTCAGGCTGCTCCAGCAGGAACCAGCGCAGAGGGTACGTGTGGGCTTGCATCATGTCCACTGGGACCGTGAAGTGCTCATCCAAGTGGAAGGATTCTTGCTGAGTGAGGCTCGGGTCAAACTTGTTCCTCCAGAAACCTGCAGCCAGGGAGAGGGCAGAGGCCATGTAGACTGGGGCCAACCTCCTTCCCATCCCACCCTGAACCCATTTAAAGGAGGAGAAGTGGAGGCCCAGGCCCAAGGGCTGGGTGGAATTGCTCGATCCAAGGTCTCTTCCCTGTAGCATTTTTGAAATCTGGGCTTCTATTTTCTCCATTCCCTGCAATGCTGCCAGGAGCCTCCCCCGAGTCTTTTTGGCCCTTTTTCTCCCAGGGTGTTCTGTCTTCAACAACCTCATCCTGTTCCTGGGCCCCCTGCCCACCATAGCCAGACCGCCCCCTGCTGCACCGCCTGGCCGGAGGTGGAAGCAAGGCCCTCAGAACAAAGCCTGCATGGCTTCACTCAGCCTACAGGGTGAGGGCAGAGCTGCCCGGCAGGGGACTTGAGGAGAGGAAGGCATACTCTGAAAGTGGATGGCATTGAGGAGAAGCAACACAGTGTTTTCTGGCAGCTCCAAAAGGAAATTCTCAATCTTCCCCTCCGTGGCCTCCTTCACCCATTGGTTGATGTTTGCCAGATCATCTTCCTGCCTTCCCATCAGGTTCACAGGCTTTGCGCCAAAGAGCTGTGCTGACTGTTCCAGGAATTCTTCTTTGATGGGAAATCCTGCACACACAGGATCACAGGGTGCCAGCAGGCTCAGCGCTCCACAGCCACCAATTCTGAGGCCAAGCCCATCTCCCACACCCTTGGTCCACCACAGGCCACTGTGTAGGGCATTTCCTGCTGTCAGCACTTACCTTTCTGCAGGTACATTCTGGCAGCCATTCGGAATGTCCCAGGGCCCAGGTTTCGGCAGATGTGGCTTAGCAGATGGGGAAGGCAGGGCCCCAAGTCTGCGTGCAGGATCTTTTGCAAGCTCCGTAGTGTTTGGTTCTGAGCCCCTGGAGGGGACCGTGTGGGCTGAGGCCCGGGCTAGGATCTTTTCCCACCCCCACCGCTCATGCCAGCCCTCTTGGAGACCCATGACGAGCATGCCAAGGGGACTACCTGCTCTCCTCCCACACCAACTGAGTGGCAGAACTCCTGGGTTCTATTTTCAACTCTGGTGTTGCCACGCTGAGGATGGAACCTCACTCAAGGTCCCTTTCCTCTGCAAACCTGTGTCCCACGGTGAGAACCTCAAGTCCAGTGGGGGTTATTGTAGCTATGAAATTCTAGCATAAAAATCACTAGAGAGACTTGTAAATAATATATTCTCAGGCCCAATGCCTGGGAATCTGACTCACAGAGACCTGTAAGGGCCCAGGAATCTGCATTTTTACCAAATGTTCAAATGACCCTGATGGAGGAGCCACTCATTGGTAACCTCTGGAGCAGAGATCCTACTGGCCTCCCATTCTGCTGATCTGGACAGATGCCACAACAGTACCTAGTGCCAGGTGAGACAGTGCCAAGGCCACACTCAGGGGTGACAGGATGAGGTTGGGGCTGGTGGACGTTTGGGACACCACCGAGAATAGGTCAGCACTGAAAGCCATCATGGCCTGGGCAAGCTTGTGGGCCTCCTCCGGGGTTGAGGTCCCTTTGCAGTCTTCTGGGGACTTCTTCAAGGCAGTCTGGCCACCAGACTCCTGCAAGGACAGGTCAGGGATCAGTGAGGTCAAGAGGTCAGCTCTAGGTTCTGTGTTGAATGTCTCCATCATAGCCTCTTTGGCGGGACCTGTCCCAGATCCAAGGGAAAGGGAAGGTCACACTGGGGGTCCTTCCCACCCCATTTCTTCCAGTCTCAGCTTCTGCCTCATAGCCACATCCCCCAGGTCCTCACTCTTGCTAACTGCCCCTCCTTCCCGCTGGCCCTGCCCACTCTTCCCCAGCCCCACCTGCTTGTACCTGGTTGCCCAGCTTGAGGAGGACAAGGGGAGACAGCTTCTCCTGGGTCGGCCCACTAATTGACTGCAAAAGGAGGAGGTGGTGAAGAATGACCCTCCCCAAAAGTCCCCCACTTTGTCCAAGCCACAGGCTGGAGCCCTTGGGCCCTCCTGCCTCCCGTACTCACTTCACCAGCCAAGGGCTCCATGGCGCTCACAGGAGAGAGCTGTTAAGGAAGGGTGAGGATAGAAGAGGGGGCGTCTTCACAGCCAAGCCCTCCTCGGACCTGCGCTCCCCTCTTCCCTCAGCCCCTGCGGCCTCTCCCACCCTACCCCCAACCCTCAACCAAGATCTTATTCAACTTGCTGATCCCATCCCACCCAGTCCTCAGCCCAGCCTCACCACAGAGCAGGGGCCTAGAAGGCAGGACAAGCTGAGCACCAGGATCCCCCGCAGCAGCACCATGTTCCTGTGTCAGGGATAGGATGGCTCGGTGCCCACCTCAAACTCCCACGCCAGGAGGAATCCTACCCTTGTGTCCCTGGAGCTGCCAGGCTACAGAACCAGGACGCATGCTGGTTTTCTGTCTTAAGGCTGGGATTTTTCCCTGACCTGTTCCCCCCGGCAGTTTCTGGGTTTTCACATTTTGTGCACTGAGGGTATTTTGGCGTATAGGGGTTTGGTAGGAAGCTCTTTCTCTCAGGCCTTGTATTGTGAGTCAGACCTGGGTTCCAGCCTCTGCCTCTCACCCGGAGAACCTTGGGCACTCCCTTAACCCCTTTAGGCTTTGCCTTATCCTGTAAAGTGGTGGCAGGAGTCCCTAGGGATTGAGCCGCAATTCCATGCAGACTGTGAGGACCAAAATAAGACATTCTTTGTAAATGCTGGGTACAATGCCTGGCACTCAGACGATGGCAGGCATCAGCCTAGCTCCCAGCACACACTTCTGGGAAGCCTGCCCTGAGCCTCTTAGAAGGGTTCCCACCCCACAGCTCCTAGCTAATCTGCTGTCCGTTTGGCCAGCCTGTCTCAGGTGGTCAGGACTTTCCCAAAAGCACATTCAGGCCCATGAGGCCCTGAGGTCTTAGCAGAGGTGGTGGCACGGCCAGAGAGTTCCCTTGCTGACCTAGCAGCACAGTCAAATGAATGACTCTGGCTCTGCCACTTTTGGACAAATGACATACAGGAACCATAGGCCTCACCACTGCCACCCCCACTCTGCCCCAGGCTGGTCTCAGGAAGCCAGGCTGGTAAGTAGGGCTGGGCAGGCCTTGGTCTAGGGGAAGATAACCAACCCTAGCCTTGGCCTCAGAGGTCTCATTCTCCCCAACATCACTACCCTGACCCAACCTAGCACCAACCCTCTGGAGGATCCTTTCATCACCCCTGCCCACCGTATCATGCACAAGGGCTCTTGGCTGGGGCCTGATCTCCAACCTGGGCATTTGAATCTTCCTAACAAGACAATGCCTCATTCTTTAAGTCTCAGAGGAAGTCTTCCTGGAGCCTCTGTCTTGGCTCCTCAATACCCCAGGATGCTGCAGAAGTACAGGCTCCTAAATAAATTCAGCTCAGGCCCCTGAGCCAAGGACAGCTCCCTGCTGCTCTCCAGCCCGAGAAGCAGCCAAGCCACCCATCCGTCCTACCTCTGCTGGCCTTTCGCTGCCACACGCGCTGTTCCTCTGGCTCTACTCAGGTGCTTCCCACACTCTGCCCAGGCTCCAGCCAGCCTGGCCTAGCTCTGCCCTCCCACCAGGACCTTTGCTCTTAGCCAACCCCTGTTCAGCTTGCTTCTCTCTGGTAAATATTGACCTGCATATCCGGTTAAACATTGATATGGGGGCCAGAAGCCCATGTCCCACTAGGGCATCTAATTCTGAAACAAGACACTCATGGCCTCTATGGATCTGGATCCCACCTGAGCCCGGAAAAAAGAGGTTTAGGAGGACACAAAGAGGATGGCACTATAGCAAGCCTTCTGGTGACCCCATAAGGTGGGGATTATCCCTGGGCAGTCAGGCTCAGAGGCTATGACCTGCCCAAGGACACCGGCTGGGCCCAGAGTGATACCCAGGTTCCTACTTCCAATGTCCTATCCTCCTCCAGAGCTGCCACCCAGCCAGCTACCTCCCCCACCTTACAATCTCACTATCGGCCTGGGCCAGAAGGTAGGAGGTAAGAGCAAAGCAAGATGCAAGAGCAAAGATGCTAAAGGATTACAACCCCTCTCAGCATCCCATCTCTTCAGGAGCAATGCTTGCTTACTGTCCCCAAGAAGGAAGGTTTTTTTGTTTTGTTGTTTTGGTACCAGGAATTGAACTCAGGACCTTGTGCTTGCTAGGCAGGCGCTTGTGCCACTGAGCTATATCCCCAAGCAAGGGAAGGTTCTTGAAACTGGTCTAGGGCTACACAAACCAGAAGCTTTGCATCCTGTACCTCCAAAAGAGCAACCAGCCAGGTGTAGTAGCGCATGCCTATAATCCCAGCACTTGGGAGACTGAAGCAGGAGGATCGCTGTAAGTTTGAGCCCAGCTTGGGCTACATAGTCCAAGAGCAGCCTGAACTACATAGCAAGACCCTGGCTTGAAAAAAAAAGGAGCAAACGACAAGCTGCCTCCCCGCCCTCCTGCCCTACTCCTCACCCCTTCTTCATTGCCCTAGGACCTGCTGAGTCTCAACTCTCCCCCTACCGTCACCACTATCAGGATAAGTCATAACCCCAGTGCAGTGGCACGCCTGCAAAATCCCAGCCTGGGAAAAATATCAACACCTTGTCTCAAAGTGGGGGAAAAAAGACAAGCCTCACTCCATGGCTCTTCCAAAGGATTTATTGATCATATTTACATCTATTGCAAATAGTGAAGAGGCAGTAGGGGCCAAGCTCAGACCTCATCTCTGCACCAGACAAAGACCCAGACATGTCTGGGTCTTCCTGCCCCTGGGAGAGACCTGAGATGCAGAGATGATTCTCCTCACCTCCTCTCTCAGGGTTCTCAGACCCCACCCCGCAGGGGCTCTGGACCCAGCAGTTGCCTCCTCAGCTCAAGGCACAAACACTGTGGTGAGGAGTGGGAAGGCAGGGCATGGTCATTCCCGCAGGCACCAGCTGGCCCGGTCCACCCACCTTCTCTCCCCTGGTCCTGTCCTCGGGCTTCCCTTCCTGGTCCCACACAGAGAAGGGCCGGGTTGGGCGGACACTTAACCCTCAAACCGCGACCCTTAACTCCTGGGTCATGGCCAGCCCTCCTTAGGCTGGAGTCCAAGCACCATCAGTGTCCTGGACTGGGACAGCTTCTTGTCCTGGGGACAGAGGCAGAGAAAGCCCAGTAAAGGCAAGAGGTGAAGGGAGCTTGGCTGGAGAATGACTGGGAAAATCCAGTCTCCCTTCCCCTTCCTGGACCTCCCTTGTCCCTATGTGGCCCTAGAGGGAAGAAACGAATTTCCCTCGCTCTCCTTACATCCTGCTGGCTGGGCCTGTCTGGTGGGTAAGAGCTGGACCCCTCCCCGCAAGGAATATCAGCCCACCCCATGCCCAGCTAGCTTCCCTATGAGCTTATGCCAGGAGGCGGATGACGCCGTTGTCGGATCCCAGCAGGAGGTGGCGTTTAGTGGGCAGCAAGGCCAGGCTGGTGAGCGTGCCACGGAAGTTCTCGGAACTGAGCTTTGTGGTGGCCTGGGACGGTGGCTCAAGCAGGGAGCAAACACCAATCTTGTTGGCTACAGTGCCAGTGACCACCTCGCTGCCGTACACATCAAAGGTGTGGATGGGGTCCGATGCCGATTTGTAGTGGTGCGTGGGCTTCTGTTCCAGCTCCTTCCAGACAGTCAAGGAATGATCGGAGGAGGAGCTGACCAGGACACTGCCCTCCACTGCCTGCCAGGGGAGAAGAGAGCCTTAATGGGGACTCGAGGCCTCCTGTATACCTACCAGGCCCCAAAGGCCTTCTGATTTCCTCACATCACACCGGGAAGACAGACCATCCCAAAAGGTGACAGGCTGCCCCCGACACACCATGTTAACATATGATCATACACAGTTAACAGTGATGTGTTAAATGTAATTAACCTAGTCGGCACTGTCATTTGAGAACTTATAATGTGCAGGCTTTGTACCAGGCATGCCCTAATACCATATTTAACCTTAAAAACAAGGCTATGATGCCCATAATTGGGAGGCTGAGACAGGAGGATCGCTGCAAGTTTGAAGCCAGTCGGGGCTATATAATGAGCTCAAGGCCAGCCTGTACTACAAAGTGAGACCCTGACACCAAAACAAAACAAAACAAAAAACAATAGAAACCAAGCCTCTGCCATTCTACCCCTTTGCTGGGGTGCAGAGGGAGGACACAGGTTCAGAGAAGTAATCATTCCAAGTGGATGTAGCTTGGTAGTACAGTGCTTATTCAGCATGTGTGAGCCCTGGGTTCCATCCCCAGTGCCAGGAAAGAAAAAAAGAGTAAAGTAATCATAGCAAGGTCACACAGCTAGTAGGCAGCAGAGCCAGGATTAACACCCAAGCTGTCCTGTAGCTCTTTTCACACTTTCCTGGAATGTCAGAGTTTAGAGATGCTTGGAACCCAGAGTTTCTCTAAATTCTAGAAGGAGCCAGGGTGTCTGCCTTCAGTGCCTGTCTGCTGGCCACCCAAGCTGGGAAGAAGAGTTCTAGTTGTCTGGAGAAATTCTCCCACAGGTAGCCCTGTTCCTCCCCTCACAGACCTGGCTGAGCAGGTCCCTGAGGCCTGTGATTGAGAACAGGGGGCTAAGCAGGGGCAAGAGCAGGATTCTCATGCCCAGGCCTACTCCTGCCCCCACCAGGACAGCCCAGCCAGGGGCATGGACTCTGCTCAGCGGTCTGGGGGCAGTAAACAGCATCCCAGCTGAGCTTTATTTAACCTGAACTGGGTCACGGACAGGGCCTGACCCCTGATCCTCCAAGCAAGACAAATATGGACAAGGGTTACTCATTAGAACATCTCCTTGGAGCAGCAGGGTTAGCTCCACCCCTGGTTCCCACCCCCAGAGCCTGACTCCTACTGAGGGTGCCATTGTGCAGCTGGCTCCTGAATGTAAGGGACACCAGCCCAAGCCTGTCCTCGGGCAGGCCTTAAGTAGAGGTAAGGGGCTAGAGCCGGGTACCGAGGAGGGGAAGAGGACCAAGCCTGTCATTACCTTTATCTGGAGAATGTCTCCCTCGTGGGCTGGCCAGCCTCGCAGAACCAGGCCCGTACGGGTGTCCAGGAGCACCATGAAGCCCGAAGAGAAGCCAGCCACAACACTACGGCCACTGGGGCTGACCGCCAGCGAACGGACGAGCCCAGGGTTCAGCCCACCACCCAGGCGGAACTCGTGCTATAAGCAGAGGGAGACTGAACTGAGGCGCCACTGCCCATCGCAGCCACTCTCCCCAAGGTCCTGCTCGCCATCCAACCCCACACGGCTGGAAGGCCTGGGCTTTAGGCTCCATCCAGGGGAAGGAAAATCCCAGAACTCAGCCTCATCCCAGACCAGCATCCTGTCGGTCTGCAGAGTGGCTGTGAGAGACAGATCTGTCTATCTCTAAAGAGAAATCCACAAGCTCTCCAGGACAGCAGCCTGGCTTTCTGTCTGTGAGTGTTCTCCTACAAGGGTCCCAGAGAGCCAGGAAAGGGCTCAAGGTACCAGACACCCTCTGACCTGCAGGCCAGGCTTCCTGCAGTCCACAAAGCGCAGGGTGGAGTCAGAGCTAGCCATGGTGATGCTGGCATGGGGGGCAGGCACGACGGCCACGGCGGTCAGGGGTCCCCGGCTGTCCAATGGCTCCACTGTGCGAAGGGTCTTGCCTGGGAAGGAAAGGCCTGGTGCATCTGGAGTCCCAGCAGCCAATGAAAGAGCCCTTGCCCCTTCTAGCCCCCTAACTTACGCCACAGCCACTTCCCATCCCCCAGGGATCCTCATAAAATACTAAAGATGTTTCTGGATTTTTTTCCACCTTCCTCCTTCCATGGCAAGGGCGGGTTTTTCTTTTCTTTTTCCTTTTCTTTTCTTTTCTTTTCTTTTCTTTTCCTTTTTTTTTTTTTTTTTTTTTTTTTTTTTGTCTTTTTGAGACAGGGTCTCACTATGCAGTTCAGGCTGGGCTTGAGCTCACTTTGTAGCCCAGGCTGGCCTCGAACTCGTAATGATCCTCCTGCCTCAGCCTCCCAAGTGCTGGGATTATAGGTATGCACCACCATGCCCGGCTCAGGGTGGGTTTCAATCCCCAGAGCAACCTCCTTTCACCACACAGTACCCCCTGATAAATGGCACCTCTCTGTATCTGCCCATGTGTCTATTTTCTGCATCTTATTTCATCCCCTCCCCTTTTTATAATCATATTTCTCCCTACAGTGATGCCAAAAAGCTATCAAGCAACCATTTGTCAAATAAGTACCACACACTACACGTTAAGTTAAACTCCGTTAAGTTAAACAAGCTTCTAAACCAGATTTCCTGATTCTCACTTTACAGATGCAAAAACAGATGTCTTCAGCAGCAAAGTAACTGCTCAAGTTCACACAGCAAGTTAATGGACAGAACAAATTCAAACTCGTATCTACGCCTTAAATGCTCCTCCTTCTGGCCTCCTGAGGTCTCCACCCAAAACCTGTCATCCTACACACCCTCAAACAGTAGGCCCCCAGCCCTAGCGGCCCTTTGGGGCATGGTATAGCAGCAACAGAACAGGCCTCACCTGGGCCCGCTCACCTGTGAAGGGGTCCCAGACGTGCACAGCCCCGTCACAGCTCACCACATACTGCAGGGCCTCAAGCTGGCCCACGTAGAAGACACTCTTGCGGTGCTGAGCATAGATGAGGCGGGGGGCCGTCTCGCTGGTGCCATCCCCATAATTGTAAAGTGGCCAGAGGCGCACAGTACGATCCTTGCTGCCACTCAGGAAGAAGTCCTCGCTGCTCAGGGGTGCCACGCACTTGACAGCCCCCGAGTGGCCAGGGAAGCTCTGTAGGCGGATCTGGTGGAAGCGGAAGTGGGCATCCTGCTGGCTCACACCAATCTCGTACTGCCAGTATGCCAGCCAGTTCCCGCTCAGCCCATGGGCACTCCGGGGCAGCTCTCGCTTCAGGGCATTGTCTTCACTCCCGCAGCTGAGGCCCCCGCAACCCACCCCAGAGATGGAGCCCAGAGGACCAGGGTTCTCAGGCTGAGAGTCATTGGGGATCTGGATCCGATTCCCAATGAGGACACTCCCAAAGGTCCCTGAGTGGCCATCATCCTGGGAAGAGCCCCCACCCTGGGCATCCCACTCAGGCGCAGTTCTGGGCATGGTAGGCTCCACGCTGGCAGGGTTGTGACAGCTTGGGTTGGTGCTTTCCAGGTACAGCCCCGCCAGCTCCCCGACCAGCTCGTGGTTGGGGACGATTTTCTGGATGATGTCACCTGGATGGGAGTGGGAGAGATCCTGAAATCAGGGAAGATGGCAGGTGGCTGTCACGACCCGTCCAAGGGCTTAGGAAGCCCCGAAGACAGGGAAGACACTGACTATTCAACTCTGAGCAGTAAGTCCACGTCTCTGACCTTGGTTTCCTCCCAGTAAAACATGGATTCATTCACTCAATACATACACGTGGGTGTCAGCTCTACAAGCCAGACATCATGCTGGGCATCAGAAATAGAACAGTAACCAAACAGGTGGTGCCCTGCTCTCCCTGGGCTTAAAATTCAGTGGGGAGTAATAGTACATCTAGCCATGGAGCTGCTCATCCTGCGCAGGCAGATAAAATACAGAAATGTCCAGCACAGTGCTTGGCCAGAGCAAAAGGGACAAAAGTGGTAGGCCACACACTCCTTTGCAGACAGCTTATAAAAACCATCAGATCAGAACATCACTCTCTCACCCCCCCCGACTGCCCTAGGGATACTACAGGCCATCCTCTGAGCCTGTCTTTATGGCTCATGCTTAATCCCTATTTATATGTCACCTTGGGAATTGAGGTCTAAAGCAAAATCCCTTTCATCTGACCCAAAAACCTACTGATGCCTCTGAGAGTGTAGCACGGGGCCTTCCCCTGGGAAGAGACAGCCAGGAGGCTGTGTAAGGGGATGTGACAGGGCAGTACCCAACAGGCAGGAGAAGGGCACGTAGATTGTGTACGCCATCTCCAGGGTGAACACCTTCTGCAGCTCATCCAACAGGCTGGGGTCCACTGGCCGCTGCTGCCCATCAGAGAAGGCTGCCTCAGGCAGCTGGCCCTCGTCGCACCCCTCGGGATCCAGCTGCAGGTCCTGTGGGTGGGAAGTGCAGAGGTCAGCAAGTCCACGGGCCAGGCACAGCCGGTCCCAGCCTGGTAGCTTTGCCCACCTGCTGCCGAAGTTCATGCAGCTGAGAAAAGACTTGAAAAAAAGTAGCCACAGGCTCGCTCAGGTGCTGCTGGACCATCTCCTGTCCAATGCGCAGGCAGATGAGGGCAATGAGGCTGATGGTCTTCACACAAAGGACAGTCCGAGCCTGGGCCCCACTTGGAAACCTAGAAACAAAGCTCATGAGCTCTAGACCCCACTTTGCAGAACTCGACCAGTCTATGGGAGTTTTAAATAAAAGGAGCTCCAAGACCAATTTGCCCAATCCAGATAGGAGATGGACACACAGGCAAACAGTATGGCTTGCGCAGGGTCATAGAACCCAGATCAGAACCAGTACTTTTTTCTTTTCTGCTTTTTTTTTCAGTGCTGGGGGTTGAATTTGGTGCCTCACAAATGTGAGGCAACTGCTCCACTACTGAGCTATGCCCCTAGCCCAGAACCAGGATTCTTGACACCCAACCCAGTGTTACCTTCTCTCCCTGAAACTTCCCAGGCCCTCCTGGGGGTGCCCCCTTGGCTGGGTAGTAGCTCCCTTCAAAGGGGTGGGACAGGGGCCTACCCTGTGACGAGGGAGGTGAGGAAGCTGAGCACAGGCAGCAGGACTTCATGGCTGATCCGGGGCAGGATGTCCATGAGGGTCGTGTCTGACAGGTACACGATGATCTTCTGAGTCAGTGTCACTGCTGCCAGCAGCCCAGCCTCCTTGCGACTGTTGAGTCGGCTGGGGCTTGAGTTGCTACCTGGAGCCACCTGGGGGCACAGAGTTGATACTGGTGAGTTGCTGATCTCCTGCTACCCCAGAGCCTGGGCCAATCCATAGGTCCTCAGCCTCCCCACCTAGGGCCTGCAAGACCAACAACTGACCAGGTAGCTGATGTAGGGCAGGTACTGGTAGGTAAGGACAGGCTCCCCGTACAGGTGGGCAATGTGGAGGAGGCAGCTGAGCACAGGCCCCGACACGATGTCGCCCAGGACTGGCCTCTTCTGGTAGATGTTGCCGGCACTCAACGGAGGATTCTCACCACTGCTGACCATGAACTGCTGCCGAGTGGGCCCTGCCAAGGAAGGGCCAGCAGCCTTGAGCATCTAGTAAAGGGCAGGAGGAAAGCTGCTCCTGTTCCTCTAGCATGGGATCTGCCCTGGCCCTAGCCAAGGAAGGAAGGCACTTACAGATTGGGACCCAGGATCTGCCCAAGGGATGGTCGGAGGTGGGGATGAGAAGGATCCTCTAGAAAGGGGTAAAGATGCCAGGTGTGGTGGCACAGGTCTATAATCCCAGCACTCAGGAGGCTGAGGCAGGAGGATCATTG